ACAAATACATACACACACACATACCCATAGAGACATACTCGGATAGGGTCAAAGCCCCCAACACCACACACAGCCTCACCTGCTCCTTTGGAAAGTCCTCAGGTGAGAGGAAAACCTTTATTCCCTTTGTTTCCAGGGGAAGAAAGCAAGGGCCAGAGGAGAGGGGCTTTATCCAAGGGTTTGGGACAGATCTGGGAGCAGAACCCAGAACTTTGTTTGGTGCTATTCAGTTGCCCTTGAAATCGTAAGTAGGATCCTGTTGAGCGCATGTGGGGTCTGGAGCCCAAACCCCCTCTTAAGCCCTGCCCTTGCCCTTGAGTCATTGGTCAGTGGTTGGAAACTGGCCACAGAACAGATGCGGGGGCTGCTTCCTCCTGTGCAGCTGCCTGGCGCTTGGCCTGAGCTCACCTCCTGGGTCTCAGTCACAAGCCCAGACTGGGCTCTGAGAAGGAACCGTGACTAGCCTGCCAGAGGACAGTCAGGCTTCCCTGGCCGGCCCCATGTGTGTGCTCCCTCTGGCCCGACCCTGTGCCAGGTTTACCCATTTCCATGTTCTCATCTGAGTGAGGAGATAACTGAAGCTCAGAGAGGCAAGGTGGCTTGTCTCTCTGGTTGAACTGAGAACCAGCTTTCAACTCAGGACCAACTGTCTCCACAGGCACACAGAAGCTCACGCTCTCCGGCCTTCCTTAGCCTATCTCTGCTCTCACACCGAGGAGAACGGACATTAAAGGCCCCAGATCCCTCTTCCAGCAGAGCCACTCCAGCTCTTAGGGGCTGGAGGGGTAGATTGTTTCAAGAAGGGTTGAGCTTAGCCTGCCTGGAAGTTAGGGTCTGCAGTTTCAGGCCATGACATACTTGTCCACCTTCTGTGAAACTTCATTTTCTCCTCTCTCCCAGGGCATTGTGAGAACTGATGGAGATAAGGCATGGAACTCACTTGGTGGGTGCCTTGGTGTGGCTGTGGCTGTGGCTGTTATTCTTTATCTGCAACTTGGCCCTCCCTTCCCCCAGCTTGGCCATGCCCTCATCTTATTGGTGCTGAACAGACCTAGGCCAAGCCACAGCTGTTCCTCATCCACCCACCCCCACCCCGCATTGCCTCCTCCCGCCAAAGAAAGAACACCCCAGTGGCAGGGGGCCCAGGGTACCCTCTTCTCTCCTGCCTGGCTTGACCAGCAGGATAGGACAGCCAAGCCAGATGCTCTGCAGATGTTGTCAGTTGTAAGCAAAAACAGAATAGAGATCTCTCGGGAAAGGATAGTGCTCAGGGAGAGGCAGGGATGCAGAGGGAGGCGTGAGGAGCACGGCCTGGAAGTTGGAGCCTGAGTTTTGATAGGGAAGACAGACAATCACAGAGGGTTTCTAGAGTAGGGTCTCAATGGGAGGGATCCAGGAAGGGTGCAGGAGGCAAGGAGGGGCTGGAGGTAGGAGTGGGGAGCTTAGAGGAATTTGCTGAAGGGGAGAGGAGCAGGGAGGAGTAAAACAGAGAATCGGTTGGGCTCGTAGGTGGTGCTACTGCTGATGGACTGACCCAGTGGCTGCAACGATGGGCTCAGATATAACAAGTATTGTGAGGCTGGCACAGGACTGGGCAGTGTTTCGTTCTGTTGCACACAGGGTCGCTCTGAGTTGGAGCCGACTCAACGGCACCTAACAACAACAACGACTGCCGATCTGCCCCTATTTCCCCATCCCCAAGGGGACTAATTCCAGATGGAAAGAACTCCACAATCACCAGCGGGCTCCCAGGCCCTCCTGAGCCTCCTTGGGAGGTGATGAGCTTCCTGTCACCAGAGCCTTGCAAGCAGAAATTCAAGAAGGGACCCAAGCACTGGGTAACAATTTGGACTAGATGACCTCATCCAGGCTGGAGAGTCTAGGAGGCCATACCTGCCCTGACTCAGACCAAGATATCTTCCTGCTGACTCGGCAGAGGCATGAGGGACTTGACTTGACAGCAAGAAGTGTGGTGGTAGTTGGTGCAGTGATGCTGACCCCTTTCCCACTGGCTCCAACTGAGGTGCACCGTCCCTCCATTTTCACCCTCCACATCTTATCTGCCAGCTGACCCCAAGTGCTCCCAGCCCAGCCAAAACTGGGTAGCGGGATGGGGACAGGCTGTTTCTTATTCCCTGGAAAAGTCTGACTTAGTTCACCAGCAAAATAATTCCTGGAAGGGAAGGCATCTAGGGTCTGAGACTAAAGGCTCCCTGGGGGTCCAGCCCTGGCCTGAGTAACGAGAATGGGTTTTGCCACACACCCTGTGACCCTGAATGATGATGTTGCCAAGAGCAGCTTGCATTTAGGGAGCACAGCCCATGCCAGGCACCGGACTGAGCTTGTTGCAGGCATGACCTCACTTAGTCTTTGCAACTCCGAGGTAGGTTGCCAGAATGCACAATTTATAGATGAGAAAATGAGGCAAAGAGAGTTATAGCGTTTATCCAAAGATGCACAGCTAGGAAGTGGTAGAGCCAGGGACTAAACCCAGGGAGCCTGACTCCAGTGCACATCACCTCCGGATTGTGCTGCTTCCTTTCCCTCCACCAAAGGTCTCGATCTTCCCATCTGTGAGATGGGGAGAGAGCTGGACATAATAACCTCAAAGCTGCCAGGCTCCACATTGACCAGCCTGGGATAATCAGACAGAAACCAAGGAGCCTGCTTCTTCCCCACATGTGAAAGAAAAATGGGGGGGGGGTTGGGGGGCAGCCCAGACAACACTGTACAGGTGAGTGGACCGAGGCCCAAGGGGGTGAGGGACTTCTTGAGGTCCTTTAGGGAACCCAGATGCATCCCAGGACAAGAGAACTCAGCCTGCTGTCCAGCTGGTCTACGCAGCCAAAGCTGCTTTGAGGCCAAGGGAACCAGGGTATGAGTAATGGAAACCAGGCAGTGGGGCCTTCCAAAATGGGAATTCCATCTGCCTGACTTTGTTCTCTTGGATTTTGGTATCCATGGCAACTTGGGGGTGGGAAGGTGGTGAGCCTAGCTCTCCCAGAACCTAAAGAAAGCGGAAGGTGAGTTTCCTTGTGGGCCCAGTGGCTCCTCCCAAGGGAAGACAGCACAGAGAGGCCAGTTAGCAAAAGACTTTAGAAGTCCTAGGCTCTGGACTCAAATCATTTTGAGGGTTATGGGGAGTGGGGTTATAGTCCTTTCTGGGCCCATTTTCTCAGCTGTCAGTTCCCCAAATCTAGGCCTGGAAGGGACCTAAATTGTGCCCTTGCTCAGAATTAAGTGCATAACTGTTCCCTGCCTTTCCAGCCTCGAGAATTGGAGGATTCCAGGTGGCAAAGCCCTTCGTGGTTTACAAAGCCGCACCAAGACTGTCGGCCAGGCCCACCTGGAGGAATAAGACCCAGCCTCACTCCTGGAGGAGCTCACGCTCTGGTGCTGGAGACAAGGCTGCCAACATGCATTGAGCACCTGCTGTACACTTGGTCCCAGATTGGGCCCTTTCTGCATGTTGGTTTGCTGGACCTTCACCCAAGAACTGAGAAGGCAAAGAGATCTTTGCAGGTTTTGCAGGTTCAGAGAAGGTCAGTGACTTTCCAAGGTTACAAAGCCTATCAGTAGCAGAGGCAGGATTCAAACTCATCAGTCTGAGTCCAAAGCCCAGCAACTTCTGGAGACCGACAGGACCACACTTCTCTCTGATGCTGCTTGGTAAGGGCTAGCAAGGAGGGCCATGGCTTCCTGGGAAGCAAAGAAGCGGGTTCCCTGCTAAGCTGGCCTACTGTTGGCACACAGAGACTCTTCCAAAACAGTTCTAAGGGTGAGCGGGAGACAGAAGTGCCATTTGCTGTAGTGCAGGAAGTCAGGTGCAGCCAGGGGCTGGGTCGGACAACCCCCTCTCCCTGCTGAGCAAGACCCTAGACTCTGCAGAGGGAAACGAGTGAATACTTGCTCCCCATCCAGGCCCCAGCCCCAAGGCCCCTGCAGCCCATTGTAAGAACTCACTCCCAAACCTCCCTGCTAGCCTCCGGAAACCACCAATTCTGATCTTACTGTGCAGGGAGACCAGCAGGGAGGGGTGGGAGAGAGCAGCTCCATAGCCTCATGTCCTCCATGGTTTCAAGGCCCCAGTGAGCAGACCTGAACCCAGGACCCTAGGGAGGAAGACCCAGCCACTCCCGCACCACCTCCTTCCAGCTCATCTAAGTCAGCCAGCTAAGCAGGCCCCACCCCAGGCCATGCACTGGCCTCTGCCCCAGACCCTGGGAGGTTTTAGGTGGGGGGCAGCTTCAGCATCAGCTTGGCCTGGATTCTGGGCTCCCTGTCACCTTTTTCTAGTGAAGTGGTCCAAGACCCCCCCTTAATGTGACTTTGTACCAGGCTTTCCTAAATTTGCATCTCCCATTGGGCAGAAGGGAAAACTAAGGCACAGAGGGGAAGCCTTCCCCTGGACCAGAGTCCCTGCAATCCCACTCTTGGGTCGTCTCCCCAGCTCTCCCTCTGGTCCTGGAGGCCTCCACAACCCTGCCCCTCTGCAGCTAGCTGCTCAGCCCGAGATTCTGGGCCCGTCCACTTCCACCAACCATCCCTGGACTACCCGAAGTTCCGCTGGAATCTCAGGGTGTGGCAGGTTGTGGAAGTGAAGCAATCTGCAGGAGGTTACAGAGCCAGCTGGTAGCCAGTAGAGGACAGTGATTCAGAACACTCGGCCGGTCAGGCTTAGGCAGACCCTGTCTGCCACGTGCTGGCTCTGTGGCCTTGGGCAAGTCACCTCCCCTATCTGTGCTTCACTCTCCTCATCTGCAAAATGGGGATAAGACCTGCCTCGTAAGCTTGGGGTGAAGAAATGATGGTGAACGTAACGTGTACAGCACAGCGCCCGGCACAAAGGCAGCAGCTCCCAGAAAAGCACTTAACGCTGTGCATGGCTCCAGGACGGGGAGGCGGGGATGCCAAGACCAGAGAAGCAGCAGATTGATGACCCAACTTCCAACCCTCCCGGCCCAGTCACCCTGCAAGGCTCAAAGCTAGGAACACACAGAAAGGGCCAAGAACAAGAAATAACACAGGCCTTTTATTTGCTCCAGAACGTGGCTGCTGTGTAGTCTGAGGGTGCCATGCTTCCCCGGAGCCCGCAAGGGACACCCCACCCAGGGGCACAGGACTTCTGTGTGAGGTCAGACTGCAGTGCCCTTACAGCCCTCCTCAGTCCAGAGGGCCTGGCTGCCCACCCTGGACCACCAAATTCCCTGAAACTAGAGAATGGTGCCTGCCTTTTCTGCAGGGCGGCTTTTCACAAGGCGGTTAAAATATTGCACTTGTAAATTAGGAAAACTGATGAGGCAAGGGTTTCCTATTACAGGATAACATGCCAAGCATCCAACTACTGTTTAAATAAATAAAACGCGAGGAGGGGGTCTGAGCTGCAAGCCCCAGCAGCCCCCCAGGAAGGGCCCTGGAGCCCAGGCCTGGGCCCCCTGCCCCGCCAGCCAGTTCTTTAAGGAACCTGGTCAACGCAGAGTCGCCACTGCAGGCGGCAGCAGCTCCGGATCTGGCTCAGCTGGGTCCCTGACCTGCCAGGGCCCTTGGGCCCCCTCGTACCGGGGCAACGGGGACCCAACGGGGCCAGCCCTTCTACTCCTCCAGTGGTCTGGCCTCTTTTGGTCCAGGCCTCGCATCCAAATGTCCCATCTGTCTGTCCGGAGACGAAGCCTCCAGGAGCCTTCTTGCCCCCTCCGTCGCAGCAGCGGAGGGAGGCAGGTGGGACGGGGGCCCAGTCCGCCTGTTGTGAACACTCAGCTCTGCCCTGGTGGCCCCTAAAGTGGGGGACTCATCTTCTTCTGGTTAATTAGGTCCAGGTAGAGGTCAGAACGGAGGAAGCGCGGGTATGAGTCCTTTTCCATGAGCCCAAAGATGCGCTTCTGCGCCAGGTCAAAGCAGCCCCGTGTGACACTTTGCAGGTTGTCCTTGGTGTGTTCCCGTGTGTACGAGTCCAGGTTTACCTGTGAGGGCAGAGAGCAACCGAGTCAGGGCTGACTGTGAGGGGCCAATGCTGGAGGCCAGGCCGGGTGCCAGGAATTGGGCCAATCCAGGCTCCTGCCTCCAAGCCCCCTCTGCTACAACTTAGGGTTCAGAGTGGACACCCTCGGGTCAGCAGAGTCAACCCCTGGCTTAATGTATATAAGGGCCTGAAACCTCACCTCTTGGGTCAGGCTGTTTGAAGTCCTGGCAGTGCCACACCTAGGTGTGCAACCCTAAGCAAATCATTAAGTGCTCCAAGCCTCTTCTTATCGGAAGGCTAGGAATCACAGTCCACGCCTCAGCCGTGAAAATTAAACAAGTTCATCCATAGAAAGCACTTTGCACAAAGTGCTTGGTAAACAGCAAGCACTTGAGAGATGGTAGCTGTCATGGTTAGGCTCTCTGAAACTACATTCTCATTTTTAAAAGGAAGACAATATTAAAACCTATTTATTGTGAAGATTAAATATGAGAGCAGATACATAAAGGGCTTAGCACACACCTGGAGTCCAGCAGCCCCTAGCCTGTGAAAATTTTTATTATTAACAAGATTCTCTTCTTGCCTGGCCCCAGCCTGCTTCCTTTCTGCCCTGGGTACATGCTTCCAAGAATCACTCTGGCCTTTTCCTTTTTTGAGCCTCTGGCTGTATCTTTGAGGCTGCCAGCACCCTCTACCACCAAGGGTCACAGGACAATAGGGCTTGGGGAAACTGAAGGCCCAGTCTGAAGTCCTACCTCCTTGCATGCCTGGATCGCGATGTATTCAGCAAAGATCTTCTTGGCTTTGGCTGCCATCTTGGACTGTGACTTGACTTTCTTGAAGTCCTCACACGCCAGCCAGAACTCCAGGTTCTCCTCACTAAACTCAGTGCGAAGGAAGGCCTGGAACACTGCTAATCCATCTGTGAAAACAAAACCCAGACCTTAGGGTAAGAGGAGAGTTGGCCCCTCCTACCCGCAGGACTCCCCAGCTTACCCTCCTGGTAAAGGTAGAGACACTGGAGAGCTAAAAGCCCGGGGATGTGGTCCCAGCCCTGCTGCTGCCTAATGGATGGATCTTAGGCAGATCTCCCCCAATCTATGCCTCAGTTTCCTCATTGGTAAAATGGGGGCTACAAGCCCTCTCTCCTGGAACCCTAAGAGGATCAGAGTAGATCCAGCACATGAGATGGCTGGTACATTTTGCCCGGTGTAAGCCCTCAGTACACAGAAATGTTTACTGTTATTCTGGGAACCTGGGTCTGAGCACACAGGTCCCAACAGCCTCTAGCAAGTGATGCCAACTCCTGTGGACAGGGAGGGGCTGGCAGAAGCCAGCTCCAAGGCCGGCCCAAGGACCTCTGCCCAAGTGCAACCTCTCCTCAACAGCAGGGACAACTGACTGGACCAAGAAAGAGGAATAGGCACTCTCAGGGGTCTTGGCAAAGAAGGGAAGGGAAGGGAGAGAGACAGGGGGAAGAGTGGGGAAATAGGCCAGTGGGCCCCACTTACATTTGTGAAGCAGCAGCTTCTCCAAGGACTCACCCCACTTAAGGGCTTCCTCTGAGGTGGGCCTGGGGGAGAGGGATGGGGCACAGTGAGGGCATGGTGAGGCTGGGGCTGGGAGCCCTTCCGTTAGCTGTCCAGTGGCCCAAAAAGCAGCTGAACCCAGTGGGGAGCACACAAGGGAAGCATCTTCCAGACACCGGTGTCCTGACCCACCCCCTTTCTTGGGACCAGCACCTCTTCTTCTCCTCCTGTCCCCAGACCTGGCCTCCCAGGGCAGCTGCTCCCTGGGAAGACAGCTGCTTTGCTGAGTACCAGCTTCTCTTAGGAGAACCCCCATCTCCCCAGGGTTGGACCAAGCCAACCAAGCCCCTTCCCCTCAAACGCACTGCTCAGCTCTGTTCCCCTGGGGTGGGGGAGTGGCTAATGAGTGCCTGAGGGGTCCCAGAGGTGTCTGGGCGGACCTACTTGAAGGACTTCATCACTTTGTCTGCCTTGCCCGCTGGCTGCGCCCCGGGGGACTCGTTCCGTCGCCTGAAGATGCCCAGCTTGTTTTTCATGTCCTTGGCTCTGGGAGCAGAAGCAGAGGGGGAGTGGGTCAGCCTGGCACACTCAGCCTCTGCAAACGCAAGGTCGGGGGCACGGTGGCTGAGACGAGGGCACCTACTCCTTCATCGTGTGCCTCCTTTGCAGGTTCCCGTTGCGCGTGAGGTACATGCCTCGGAGCATCTCGATAGGGCTCCCTCCCACCTCGAGGCCCCAGAACAGTACGCAGGGAAAACCCTCAGGTTGCTGCCCCGGGCCTGCGTCCCAGGTAGAGCAGGCGAACGGTGCAGCCAGGAGCAGCCCGGAGCTTGCTCGCTGCAATCCCGCTCGCTGAGCTCCCGCCGGATGACTGCACTCCCAGGCACAGGCCTGGGCTGGGACTCGGAAAGAGGAGCCAGGAAATGGGAGGGACCAGGAGGGGGGAGTGGAAAAAAAAAAAAAAAATCCCCAGTGGCCAACCCGGAGAGCAGCAGGAGCCCGTGAAAGGGGTATGTGTCTGCAAGGGGCGGCCTCCGGGCTGGGCAGGCAGGAAGCCAGACCCAGTTATTTGTGACCGGCCTCCCTGTTACCATGGTGGCGTCGGGGGTGGGAGGAGGAGAAAACAAATCAGCAAATTGCTGGAAGGGAAGGAGTGGAGGCCCGGCCTACCACGGTGGCAGGCCCGGCTATTTTTAACCCAGAACCATTTTTAGCCTGGCCACTCCCTCCCGAGGTAGCAAATTTCAGTCCTGGGCGAAGCTACTGGAAACAAAGGGGTTAAGTGCTTCACGTCCCACTCCTTGTCCCTGTTGTTGTTATGTGCCGTCGGACCCGACTCATAGCGACCCCTCCTTGGGTTTCTGAAGCAGTATCACTACGGAAGTAGATTGCCCTATCTGCCTTCCGAGGAGTGGGTGGTGGGCTTGAACCGCCAGCCTTCTGGTTAGCAGTCAAGTGTCTTAGCCACTATGCTACCAGAGCTTGTCCCTAGATCCCCAACAATGGGCACCTTGCAGAGGATAGCTCAGTATCTCAAAAGTCTAAGGACAGTTTTAAGCCTTAATAAGAAGTACAAATGCCACAAACTTGTAAAAATGCCGTTTGAAAGTTTCATTATTTAAATTGTTATGCATAGTTTCTTTTGTGATTTTTTTTTAAACTTTAATTTCTAGTTTCTGTCCTTTTGATTAAAGATGGAAAATGCTGTCTGAAAGCAAAAAGTTAAGTTAAAAAATGTATGATCAAATCACAAAACTAAACAAGCACAAAATAAATTCAAATAACTAAACTTTTCAATGTGTTTTGTAAGTTCATAGCACTTAAGTTTCTGAAGTTATTAAAGCTGAAAACAGCACTAAGACTTTTGGGACATGCAGCAAAATTAAGGGAAGTGAACACCGTGAAGTTAAGGGCTGAAGCTCTGGCACCACACAGCCACGGATTCAAATCCATACTTCCACAGTTATTCACAGTGACCCCTCCTTGGGTTTCCGAGGCAGTATCACTAGGGAAGTAGATTGCCCAACCTTCCTTCCAAGGAGTGACTGGTGGGTTTGAACCACCAGCCTTCTAGTTAGCGGTCAAATGCCTTAGGCACTACACCACCAGAGCTTCTATTGGCCATGTGGTCCTGATCAAGTTACCTAGCTTCCCTGAATGTCAAGTTTGCTCACCTGTAAAACAGGGCTGATAACTACCCAGCTGCTGGGGGTGTTCCAGGAACTCAGAAAAACGCAGACCACCTAACACAAAAATGCTTAACACATTAGCTGGACAGGAGGCCCAGAAATATCCTGAGGATTTGGGACAGCTGCCCAGGGATGGGGACCCTGCTCTAGCAGGTTCCAAGCCAATGAGATAAGGCTAAGGAGTTGGGTTGAGGACTTAGGTCCTCAGAGAGGGTTGAGGTGTCTAGGAGTGAGACTCCACCGCTTCCTGGGACAGAGTTTGGAAGCTATCACCCAGCACAGTGCTCTGTGTTGGAAGCCCTGCCCCAGGTCCACTGATAAGGACATAAAAGCCTATGGAAAAGGCTCGCCTGAGGTCTGGGGACATAACTCCAACCTGCAGTCTGCCCCTATTCACCTGGGCTCCTTGATTCTCTGTGGCTGGAGAAGGCTGAGGTTCTGCCCAGCCATGCCTTTCCTCCTGGACACACAGATATAGCGCAGAGCTGAGAGGCCCTTATAAAAAAAAAAAACCTCACTGCCCTTGAGTTCAGATCCGACTCATAGCGACTCCTCCTTGGGTTTCCAAGGCACTATCACTACGGAAGTAGATTGCCCCAACCTTCCTTCCGAGGAGTGGCTGGTGGGTTTGAACCGCCAGCCTTCTGGTTAGCAGTCAAATGCCTTAGGCACTTAGAAGTGCCCAGTTCACCTCAGAAGGATGCTAGGGGCACAGAGGATGCTAAACGAGCCATGAAAAGATAGAATGAGTGCCCTCTGGAGGAACCAAAGCCCACGTGGCAGGAGTGCTGTGCAAAGGGACCAGCTTCAGATGGACTTTGCACCCAGCTTAAAACTATCAGGCCCTGGAGCCAGTGAAGGAGTTCTGGTGGCGTAGTGCCTAAGGCACTTAACTGCTAGCCAGAAGGCTGGCAGTTCAAACCCACCAGCCAGTCCTCAGAAGGAAGATTGGGCAATCTACTTCTATAGTACTGCCTTGGAAACTCAAGGAGGGGGTCACTATGAGTCGGATCCAACTTGATGGTAGTGAGTTTGGTTTGATTTTTTTTTTTTTTGAACCAGCATGCCAGGCTTCTGATCCCAGCTCTGCTGCTTACCTGCTATGTGACCTTGGACAAGGAACTTAACAATGGCTTTGTGCCTCAGTTTACTCATTTGTAAAATAAGGATGACCATAATGCCTGATCTACAGGCTTCTGGAAAAGATTAAATTTGATAACATAAGCAATGCACAAGGAACAACTGTGCTTGCCACCAGAAATGTGAATTTTATCATTACTCCATATTCAAAGAGTCCTTGACTGAGTTGTTTGTTTTTTAACTTTTTATCGTGATGTGGGTGGGACTAAGCTTTTAAGAAGGTAAGCTTCAGGCATTCAGAGTGCAGCATCTTCTCTGAAAGGAGGCTGGAGTTGGCGGACCCCTCTGCGTGTGGCTGGCCCTCACCCTGCTGGATGCCTGCCCTCTATGCCATGCACTGCTCCACTCCTGGGAACCCTCTTCCACCCCAGCAACTCTGGCCTTGCATGGAGCCTCCTCTGTCCTCAAAGTGGTTAAATGAGGACAGTTGGTGCAGAGGATCATTTTTATTTACGTCTTGTCTTCCCTAGAAAGTGCAAAGTGTTCCTGCCTAAAGAGTGGGAGAAGCTACCAGTTGCTGCAGAAAGCTGGAGAGGGCAGAGGAAGCGGGGTGAGACAGTTTATGGGGTAGTGGAGCCTGGTCAAGGTCAAGGCTAAGGAGAAGGGACACTGGAGGCATCTAGTGAGAAGTCCTGTTCTTCTCCCTCAGGCCCAAAGTCTACCTAATGGTGGGCACTGAAAGACCTGGAGGGGAGGCAGCGCCTTCTGGGAGCCTTGGTGTGCCACACTGCCCCTCCCCTATACTTGATCCAAGTCTCTGGAGCCTCAGCCTAAGGGTACAAAAACTAATTGGTACCTCCTCCAAAATGAAAGTAAGAGGGGCCAGAGTGTAGCCAGATAGACTAAGGAAAGCATGGGATCCACTTTCTGGGCCAGCAGCGCCCCCTCCTGGCAGCTCCTGAGACTGTCAGCGTTCAAGACCTCAAGACTGAAGGAGGAGAACCCGGTAAACTGTCAGTTCAGCCCTTTCTCAGATGACGGGTGGGGAAGAGTCCCAGAGGACTCTGCCAGCTCAGAGTCTGGGCCAGTGCCAGGCAACCTGACTGAGGTTTCTGTTTGATTCATGTACCTCACTCTGCATGAGTACTAAGGACAATGCTAGGCATTCAGGACCCTGGTGTCCCCACCCTGGGGCCACCACTAAGCCCCATGACCCTGTTGTTCATTGTGTCTGGGGCTGCGGGCAGGACTAGGCACAGCCCCTTCTCCCCACCTGCACCCCTGGAAGAGAGACAAGCCTGAGGGCAGAGGAGGAAGAGGGGCACAGGGGAGCCCCTCTGCTCGCAAGAGTGAGGCGCATGGATCTTTTCAACGTACAGGTTTTTGCCCTTCCTCTTCCGGGAGACTTCATCTTCATCACCAACAGTATCCGGCCCACTCATCTGCAGAGAGAAGACAGACATGTTGCAGCCCAGGTATCTAGGGGCTGCTAGCAGCCCACACAAGGAGCGGCTAGGGATCCAACAGCTCCTGCAGCCAGCCCGCCTCCCTCCCAAACCTCCCATCCTTGCATAACAGTCAGTAGAGAACCCCACTGTTGGGAACAGCCTGTATGTGGAGTGTGGTTTGCTAGGTAGGGCCTCCAGCCAAAGGGGTCTCCTCCCGGTGCATGTAAGAATCCAGCCTGCTAGGGAGAAGCCAGAGGAACATCACCAATGGCGGAAGGCATCATCCTAGGCAGGAAGACAGGCTGGAGAACTGGGCTCCAGTTGGGGTTCTGCTATGTGACCAGGCCAAGTGGCTACCCCTCTCTGAGACTCTCTGAGGACATGTTAGGAGCTCAAGAAGTATTTGCCCAGTGAATGAATGAATCAGGAGTGATGGTTAAGGTTACATGTCAAGTTGGCTAGGCCATGATTCTAAGTGGTTTGGTAGATATTATGAAATCATCGTCCATTTTGTGATCTGATATGAGCAGCCAATCAGTTGAAAGGGGAGTTTCCTTGGGGGTGTGGCCTGCATCTAATATATATGGATGTCGTGGCAAGCTCGACCTCTCTAGAGCCTACATCTGACCTGTCATCTTCTGAGCCAGTAGCCTGCTGTCTGACCTGCCTGTATTGGCTCATCAGCCCCTGCCTCCATGTGAGTCAGGAGAAGCCTCTAGCCTAACCCACGGATTTGGAACTTACCAACCTCCACAACTGCATGCACCACTTGCTTGAAACAGATCTCTAATGATATATAATATATATATTTATATTCTTATTTAGACATGCTTCACTCATTTTGCTCCTCTAGAGAAGCCAGCCTAAGACAATGAGTCTGAGACCCTCACTGCTGAATCATTAAGACATCCTGCAACTTCATTACCCACCACGCCATTGCAGTTCAGGTTCTACCCCACCCCATACACATCTCCTCACCCTGCCTATACAGGCCCCCTCCCTGTAATACCCTCTCTCCTCTTCCCCTCCACTTCTGCCTCCTCCAAGTCTTCCTCCTCCTCCAAGTCTGCCTCCTCCTCACCTTCAGACTGCTCCAAACTCCCACCGTTCCTACTGTGGCAGCCCCATTTCCCTCACCCAGCCATGCCTGGGCATCCACACTCCTCCAGGGCAGATCCAGGACCCCAATAGTGCCAGCCTGAAGCACACACCCAAAAAATGCTCCAGATTGGCAGAGGAGCTAGAGCCCGAGTGGGCTGGGTGTGGATGCTATGCCCCAAGGCAGGGCAGCAGGCCAGCAGGCCAGCAGGTGTGGATCCCAGCGCTGACCCTTCATAGGATCCACCTGGGTCTCAGTTTCCTTTTCTGTAAAATAAATGTAAAGCGCTAGCCCTCTGAAATGCTGTTCTTAATTCTGGAAAGAAAAGTGGCCTTATTCCAGATACAGCCAGAGGAGTCATGACCAGCCTCATTGGCACAGCCTACCTTCCAGCACCAGAGAATGGGTAGATGGATGGGTGGGTGGATGGACAGATGGAAACACAGGTGAATTATAACTTCGCTCATGGAGTTTGTACTGTGGGCCACTCTAGGACCAGAATTACCCCGATACTGTTGTTGTTAGGTGCCATCAAGTCCATTTTTCAACCCATAGTGATGCCATGTGACAGCAGAACCGCCCATAGGGTTTCTAGGCTGTAGTCTGTGGGAATAGATCACCAACTCTTTCTCCTGCAGAGTGACAGGGTGCGTTCAGACCACCACCTTTCAGTTAGCAGCCCAGTGCTTAACCATTGTGCCACCAAGGCTTCTTATTATGGAGATACTAACTCATCGATCCTCACAGTAAATCCATAAAGTAAACAGAAGCTCAGAGAAGTTCGGCAGCCACTTGGCTGCTCTGTCTGAACTCAAGGACCAAGTTCCTCCGCCAGAGGATGCTGCTACTCAAATGCCAGGACGAAGCATGTTTGAACACTTCTGGTGACAGACTTGGCGGGGGGGATGCTGCTGCCTCCTCCCGACCATGCTGCCCCCCTAGAGTTGGAAGTGCATGGTGTGTACGTGCACACACAGCACACACCCTCCTACAGAGTGACAGAGTGTGATTCCAGAGCTCAGGGCTGGAGCCAGGCCTGGGAATGGAGCCTGCCTTCACCGACCTTAAGTAAGTGGTCAAGCCTCTCAGCCCGTTTTTTAGCTACACCCTAGGTGTGGTGACAGCCTGGGCTGATTGACCAGAACAAAGTCTGGGCTCTCTGTGGTCCGGTCCTGGCACACAGGGTACCCTCAGCAACCAGGAGCCACTGGTTCATTGCCTGGTAAGCATAACTACTGTCACCCCACTACACACACAGACTGTGGTCACACTGATCTGGCTGGTAGGGCCCAAAGCCCCCACCCGTGGGAACGGCCTGCAGGCGCTGGGCTTCCTCCCATTCTAACCTCAGCTTCCGCACTTTATCGACTCCACACAATGGGCCTAGGGACCCTTCCCGCCCTGCCCGCCACCCCCAGCCTCTGTACTGCTGGGAAATGGGCTTTTCCTTCCACTGGGAGGGGATCATCTTCGCAGGGACAGGCCCACGCCAAGTCGGCCTGATCGAGGGGCTCAGGCAGCTCCAACCCTGGCAGTAGGCCCCGCGGGCAGCTGAGGGAACCCAGGCACCCAGGGGAGTCCTGCGGACCAAAAAGCGGAGAAACTGAGACCCAAACCAGGGTCTCCCCAAATCCCCAGGGAAGCCAGCCTCTAGGCTTAGAAGGGCCAGAGTGGTACCCTAGTCTCCTTCCACCGGAATCTGCAGCAAGGCCCAACAGGCAGAGGGACTCTTGGCCCCTCTGCTCGCCACTGTCTCTCCAAGTCCTGCCCTGTTGAAGGGCAGACAACAAGAGCACAGTTCCACCCAGCCCTTTCTTTCTTCACCACAGGCACCAGTCCCTGGGGCCTGCCCCAGCTTTGCCCGGCTACCTCCAGCAACTGGGAGCTCACTGCCTCTCTGAATAATAATTATAATTGTGATTATAATTACAACTCCCATAATAGTAGTGGTTAAGAGTTTGGATTTAAACTTCCTGGATCTGAACACCAGCTCAGTCACTTATTAGCTAATTGATCTTAGCCAACTCACTTCCCCTCTTTGCCTGTTGTTTGCTGTTTCGCCAATTCTGACTCACAGCTACCCTATAGGACAGAGCAGAACTGCCCCACAGGGTTTCCTAGGTTGTAATCTTTAAGGAAACAGATTCAGGTCTTTTCTCCTGCAGAGCAGCTGGTGGATTTGAACCATCAAGCTTTCGGTTAGTAGCTGAGTGCTTAACCATTTTGCCACCAGAGCTCCTTCGTTTCTGCCTAAGTATCTTTACTTGTAAAATGAAGATAATTGTTAAACCTTATCTCACAGAGCAGTTGTGAAGATTAAGTCAGTGCAAGTGACATGATTAGTATGGTGCCAGCACATGGGAGTGCTCAATAACAATTCGTTACTGTGGGTATTATTACTACCTCTGGTAGCATAGTGCCTAAGGCACTTGACTGCTAACCAGAAGGCTGGCAGTTCAAACCCAACAGCCACTCCTCAGAAGGAAGGTTGGGCAACCTACTTCCATAATGATACTGCCTTGGAAACCCAAGGAGGGGTCGCTATGAGTCAGGAACAACTCAACAGCAGTGACTTTGTTTGTTGTTGTTACTATTTATTGAGCACTCACTATGTGCTCCCATACATTATTCAATTTGATGTTCACAAGACTTCTAAGAACTACTGGCTGTCATTAACCCTGAGTATGGCTGGGAAAATTGAGCCCCAGAGCTGATTGCTAACTTGCTGGGGTTCTCAGAGCTGGTAAGCAGCAGAGGATTTCAGCCCTGGCCCCAAAGCCTGTGCCTCCTACAGCCCACCCGTGAACGAGGGCTCCTCTGTGAGCAGGACCTCACTTGGTCTCCCCTAGTGGCCCTGATCTAACTTCTGGCCATGCCTGGCTGGCCCTCTCTGACCAAGCCCAGCCCAGCAGCCCCACAGAACCATGTGGAAACATTGGATCTAAACTCCATGGTCATTTGTTTAGACCAAGGAAGCAATTCTTCTTTCGGCTTTTTCTGAAGCTGGGCTATCGCACTTAGAGCTGGAAGACTTAGAGTGGTCACCTCATCTGACCTCCCACCTAGAGGGGCAGCTCAGGGCAGCCAGACTGGCACTCGCAGCTGACAGCCCCTACGAAGCCAACCGTCTACAGGGGAGAGGGGAGAAGGAAACACAGTCAGGGAGGGACACAGCCTGTGAGGTCTTCACTGTCAAAGAACGGCCAGTGACCCCAGGCCCAGCCAGGCCAGGCTGGAGTAAGGATCAATGGCAGTATCCCGGGCCCAGACACAGGGTTTATTCTCCAGGACTTCACTGGCTCCTCAGGAAAAGGGCAGGTGTGGGCCTGTGATCTCTGACAAGTGGCCAGCAAGGTGGGGATCTGGCAGCAGGGGGCACCATGGGACCACTCAGTTCAGCACAGGGAGCCCGCCTACCAAGCTGGACTCACTGGGTAACCCCTCCATGAAGACTTAGTATTCCCAAATGATAAGGGAAAGCCAAGGCTCAGAGAAAAGAGGCCATTTGGCCAAGATTTCAGAGCCAGAGGGAGGCAGAGCTTAGACTGAACATGGGTCTGTCTCACTCCACAGCCTGAAGCCTTCCCTCATCTCCTCCTCCTGGGCACGACCTGAGAACAGTGGCCTGTCAGCATCAGCTGACGTTCCAGGAAAGCCAGGCCCAGCCAGGAAGATGGAGTCATGAGGAACGCTGCCTCTCCCCTTGGTCAGCACCCGTCCCCTGCCCATGCTCCCACCCTCATGAGACGTGCAGGGTCTGAGGCAGAGGCAGGAGAGGCCACCATCTACTCCATCATTACTGGCTGTGTGGCCTGGAGCAATCACTTTGAGGCCTGAGCCTCCCCACTTGTAAGACAAGCCAACAAGTCCCACCTTGCGGCAACAGTGTGAAGGTTAGAAAAGAGGTCTGGAGGTACTTTGTGAATGCGGGGATCACTGTTACTACTCTTGCTACTACTGTCCTCTGCTTCTTCCTCAACATGACTCACTTATGAAGCACCCCCTAGAGGCTGAGCACCGGGCACTGCCATAAACACGCTATCTCAGTCTATTTCATCTTTCCAGCAACTCTAAGAGGGAAGTATTGTCACCATACCCATTTCATCAGTGAGGCTCAGAGGACAGGGGCTTGTCCAAGGCCTACCACCAGTAACTGATGGAACCAGACCAGTGTGCTTATCTAGGTCAGTCCCCACTTCCCCTTGACAAGGGTGGACTTCTTACTGAAGCCGGCCAGCTGGAAGGGCCTGGATACGAGTGATGATGGAAGATGCAGGCCAGTTAAGTGAGAACCACCTGGAAGGTGGCTCCCTCAGGGCTAGGGGTCTCTGAGGTCTCTGTGGCCTAGTCACTGAAACCCAGGAAACGAAGCCACATGCCAAAAGAGGGTGGGGAGGGGAAGATGCCAGTGGGGACCTTGAGCACCCAAAGGAGGAAGCCGAGAGAGGGGCGAGTTGCTCCAGAGTCTGATCAACTCCCAGGCGGAAGCGTCTGTCCCAAAACAGCAGCTGATATCAACTGAGGTGAGGAACTAGAAATGTACGCGTGAATGCGTGTGAATTTATCTGTGTACAAATATTTGTACTGGGAAAAGGGGAGGCTAAAACTTAGAAGGGTGTGGAGGGGAGAATTAGGATTGGGAAGCTCAGGCAAGTGGTAGGCCCTTGGGCCTTAGCCATTCTCCAGAGGGGAGAGGCCAGGCCTGGCCTGAGGGAGCCTGAGGCTTCTCCTTGAAGGGACAGCATTCTAGGCCCTCTCCTGCAGCTGCTGCATCAAGAAATGGCCCACAGCAGCAGTATCCAAATTTTAGGGTGCATCAGAATCCCTGGAGGACTTGCTTACAATACAGGGTCTGGGCACTACCCCTGGAAATTCTGAATCTAGAGATCTGGCGTTGGGGCCCAAGAAATGGAAGCACACCAAAATCTGAGAACCACTGGCCTTTGGGATGCAGTCCCAACTCCTGCGCCTGAAGTTCAAGGGCCTTTTCTGGTGGGGCCCAGCCTGCCTCTCCAGCCTGACCAGGAGGTTTCCATTTAAATGGTAAGTCTGCCTTATTGCTAGTGGCCAAGAAGCTAAGAAGGCTTTAGAGGCCATGCCCCGGTCCAGTAGCAAAGAATCCTGGAAGCCATTAGTGATGTCTGCCACAGGGTTGGAGTAAGGAGTAGCAGCAAGAGTGGCATGTGTCTGCCATCCCTGCCCTTTAGGAGTCCCCTGCTCTAACCAGACTGGCTTCTACAGACACTTTTGTCCAAGTCAATTCCTCCTTCACAGAATGTCTGTCTTATCCTCTTGTTACTCTAAACCTGTTTAGCCCCCAAGGCCAAGCTTAGATGCTCCTTCTCCAGACACTGTCCCTGCTGCCCTAGACCCCAGAGACTCTCCTCCCCAAGCTCCAAGGTCTCTGAGGGTCAGCTGCAGTCCGTGGCACTGACCTTCCGTCCCCCTACTTTGCCTCCTAACAGTTCTGAGTGCACAAGCCTCGCACTGGCTGTTAGTGCTTCAAGAGAAGAGGGAACAGCCTTCTCACAGGGCTCTACTGTCCTCAGGGAGCAGGTGGATTCATCTTCAACCTCTGAGGCATTCGTATTGTTAGCCCCTGCTTTTCGGGGAAGGAAACTAAGGCTCAGAGGGGCTCAGTGACTCACTGAATGCCACACAGTAGGTGAGGAACAGAGCCTGGACTCAAGCTGGCTGTTGGTCTTCCAGGCCATAGTGCAATTTCTTAACTGCTAGGCTGTCTTCCCAGCCCACACACATAATTCATACCTGACACATTTCTGCGGCCCCTGCTGTGTTGCAGAGCACAGAGCTTGGCAGACAGCAGGACATCAGTAAACACTCATCTATTTATAAATATTTGCAAGGGGCAGATAGCATGTCACTAAGAATTCCAGCCCTGGAGCCAGAACCTAATTCTGATTCAGCCATTTATAAACTGTGTGACCTGGGGCAAGTTCGATAACCTCTCTGTGCCTCAGTTTCCTCATCTGTAAAATGGGGATAGCCATAGTATCTACCTCACAGGGCTATTGTGAGGGTTAATGAATTAATGTAAATTGCTTAGCAGAGACGTGTTGTCATCGATGTTGTGGCTTTTGCTGTCTGATGGATTTCTAGCTAGGCCTGAACTAGGCCTGCATTCTGTATCTCTCCAGTTACTGTTTCAGACCTTTCAGATCTGGATGCCCAGTGTCCTGGGCTAGGTCTCACCTGCCCCATTTTCTATGGGGCTCCTCAATGGAGCTATATAGACACAGAATCTGGAGTCATAAAGTCATGGGTTGGAGTCTAGGCTCTGCCTTTGCACTCCCTCCAAGCCCTAGTTATATCCTCTGTCATATGGATTCATTGGGAGGCCTAGAGGAGAGCAGGGATAGGGAGAGGTGACTTCTGGTTCCTTGCCATTCCACCTATCCCCCCCAACCCCCCAATTCATGGCCTTCTTACCTTCCTGTGTCCCGTGAAAAAGAGGGAGAGGTGGTGCATGGAGCCGCCATTGCGGCCCAGTTCCTTCTTGAGGGTGCGGGGTGAAGGCATGGCCCAGGTGGGGGTGGCACCCTCGCCATCAGAGCAGTGCAAGGTGGTGTCGGAAGCGAAGCAGGGCCCGCGCGTTTCCTGCAGCAGACTGCCCTCGCTGTGCGTCCGGCGCCGTAGTGAGTTCTGAACACGCAGCGAGAATCCTCCCTCGGCGCCCTGGCCCGTCTCAATCATGCTGCTGCGTTTGACTTCACTACGCTCTCCATAGTTGTCATCACTTGTGTCCTCATCCTCGTCTTCCTCACCCTCATCCCCTTCCTCCCCCTCCTCAGCCTCTTCGGCTTCCTCTTCATCGCCTGACCCTCCCCCCTCTGCCCCTGCCTTCTGGCTGTAGGCGCTATCCAGCCGGACCTCAGGGATCACGAAGGTCGGCCTGGAGGCCACGGCTGGGTCCCTGGTGGCTGCTGGTGGTTCCCCAGAGCCCGCAGTCTCCTCAGTGAGAGCCTCGGCTGGCAGAGAGACCTGGCTGGGAGGCAGGTCGTGACCGGATGGGAGGTCCTGGGCAGGGGGCGCCTGGACGGCAGGGAGGTCTTGGCTGAGTAGAGGGTCCTGGCTGGGAGGGGGTTCTTGGCTAGTAGGAAGATCCTGGCAGAGTGGGGGGTCTTGGGCTGGAGGGGGATCCTGGCATGGTGGGGAGTCCTTGCTGGGTGGGGGTTCTTGCCCTGCTGGAGGTCCCTTGCAGGAAGGTGAGTCTTTGCTGGACAGTGACTCCTGGGCGGGAGGGGACTGCTTGCTGGGCGGAAGGTCTTGCGCTGGAGGAAGATCTTGGCTAGGACAGCGGTCCTCGCTGGGTGAGGGGTCTTCAGCACCCGGCCCCTTCCCTTCCTCCAAGGGCATCTCCCTCTTCTCATCGGCTTCTGTCTCAAACATCTGGGCAACAGAAAGAAAACAAGAAATGTTCAAAAGGAGAGGCTGGAGACATCACACACTGTGCCTGAGCCAACGCCACAGCGGCTGAAACACAGGCAGCTGCCTGGACTCCAAGCCCCTGCCCCATAGTCTGAGGGCCAGGAGGGCCAGGTGAAAACCCGAAAGCCCTTGGGCTGGCTGGTAAGGGATCTATCTCACCCTTCAGCTCCATCAGAAACACGGCTGGTCGTATAGAGAGAAGGGGAAGAAACAAGTACCATTTAGCCAGCTCCTATTGTGTGCCAGGAACCATGCCAACAAAGTCCCTCTCTTATGTAATCCTCCCAGTGGCCTCATACGGGAGTATCATTGTCCCCGTTTTACAGAGAAGCGACAGAGGTGAAGTCACCTCTATGAGTAAAGGAACCAAAGTAGTCTCTGCCTTTATGAAGCAGAACCAAGCCAAGCCCCCAAACCAGAACACCACCAAGTGGCAGAATCTCAAACTCAGCCAAAAATTATCTTCTACTTGAACTAAGGTTAAAAACAAACTCTAATCAGTCTTTTGAACAAGAACTTGCTCTGTGTATTGTGTTTAAGTTTTTTTGTTTTTTTTAATTAGTGAACTGGAATAACCAGAACTTTAAAATACTGCCCACACCTGGACTAGACAGGTGTCACAGATGTGGGTGGGTCCTCAGCGAGGGACCGACCACCCAGTGATATTTAAACTGCTTAGAGGGACCACAGTGATTCCACGAAACACAAAACATTTCCTGCCTCGCATGTTCTGCTACCATCACCCAAGGAAACCTCAGGGTTTTCCTTGAGTTCCTGCAGTAGGCTTTGTTTGGAATGGGAAAAGCAATTCCTGCGATAAAGTCTAAACACAGCTATCTCACAGAAGAGTGGGGCTCAGAGACGGTCAGGGGTGCCCAAGATGTCATAGCCACGAGGGGAAGCAGCACTCAGGTATGGCACTGCGGCCCCTCATCACACTCAAGGTCTTGGGCTGCTGAAGCTAGAACCATTTAGAGGCCAGGTTTTGTCCTTCTCTTCAAGGCCATAGCTACCTAGAACTGATGGAGGTAAAAGACCCCCCTATACGTATGGGGGAAGTATCCAGATGTATGGGAATGTGCAGACACATAAATAAACACACACACTGGTGGAGAATTTCAGGGTGCAAGTACCCCCAAAACACAGATTAAGAGCTCTTGCTATACAGACCATTTATGTCCATTTAACAGATGAGAAAACCAAGTCCAAAGAGCGGTGACTTATCCACTACTGCCCAGCTGTCCAGAGACTGAAAGGCTATGTTCTTCTGAGAAGTTATGTAAGTCCTGGGGAGCCTGTCTGTGATGGTGGAGCTCCCACCAAGCCTCACCTCTAGGAAGAAAGGACCCAGCCATGGCCTGTGCAGCTGCAGGGCCCTGTGCACATGTGTCAGGGGCACGGTGGCATCTGGGAGCACCAAATCAAAAACTAAACCCACTGACTCATCGAGGCCCTCAGGACAAAGCAGAACCGTCCATGGGGTTTCCAAGGTGGCAAATCTTTACCGAAGCAGACAGCCTCATCTCTCCTGTATATCGTGGAGTGGCTGATGGGTTCCAACCCCTGACCTATTGATTAGCAACCAAATGTTTTAACCACTGTGCCATGAGGGTTCCCGGGGTACCACAGCAGATGTGCAAGCACAGTGTGAGTAAGACGGGCTGCCTGGGAGCGTGAAAGTGAAAGGTGGGCCAGGCCGGGAGTGGAGGGGTAGACGAGCAAGGCAGGGAAACCTCATGAGACTCTAAGCTGACTGGCCAGGGAGAGCACCCTGGGTTCTCATGCCCAGGCACAGCCAGGTGCCCACTGGTCCCATAGGCGTCCTGCTCACTGCTAGGAGATGATTCTACCCAGGAACCCCCAAGACCTTGTAACCCAGATCCTGAGACATCAGCCATCTCGAATCCCTACTGCACAAACAGGAAGGCTGAGGCACAGAGACAGGCAGAAGCCAATCTCAAATCAATAGTGGGACCAGGCAGAGCTGTCACCAAACCCTTGGGCCTCAAGGTCTCTACCTATTCAATGGGGATAAACAACGTGCCCCAGCTGGAGAATATGCCCTAGAAAATATAAAGCTTGCAAAGGGCATGATGGTGGTGGTGGAAGCCGTGACAAGAAGGCACACTTGGATCTAGAGGGAATTCTGAGGTCAGGGGCCTCTCCCACGGGCCCCTGGCAGCAGCACGAACACTGACAATACCCAGAATCAAAGTTGCCAATAGTGATGCCAGGCTCTCAACCCAGAACCCTCATTTGGAAACGAAGGGATAGGCTTCAGCCCCATCAGGCTGTTTCCAGGTGAACAGAGAGACCTCCCCCCATCCCACTGAACAGATATTATACCGAGGTTCAGCTGGGACTCACCCAAAGCCACCACGCACCAAACGGGCCAGGCTGGGGTGAGAGCCCACACCTCTGGCTCCTGATTCTTACCAAGCCCAGCTTCTGTTCTCAGTGCCATGAGCCACCCAGTGCCCTGCCCGTCATCCCACCTACCAGAGCACATTCTCCACCAAGAAAAACAAACCGTCCCACAGCCAGCTCCCTGGTGCCCATTTGTGTCACCCTTCCCACAGCCAGACCACCCACACCCCACACCCCCACACACACCTGCCTCTAAGGGTCCGAAGGATGAAGGATGGGAGAGAAGTGGCAACCAGGTGCCCCCAGGGCCTGGCTCTAGTGGCCCTGAGAGGGAGCAGACCTGCATTTCCCCTTTCCTGGGGGAGTGGTTTGTCCCAGTGGTGGCTGCAGGCAAGCCACCCTTCCCTCAAGGAACATGCAGCAACAGACCCAAAACCAGAAATGCAAGTCAGCCTGCCTGCACTTACCCTGCCCCAAACCGAGCCAAATGAAGAAACAAAGCCAGGAGAGGAAGCAGGAGGGCCAGCCCCAGAGGGCCCCACCCCGGGCATGTGGCTGACAGAGCGCCCCAGGGAAGGGCTCTCCAGTCCAGCAGTTACGTGCTCAGAAGCTTGGGTCAGACTTTGATTTTGATACTGACGGTGCCACCTCCTGGCTGTGCAACTCTGGCCAAGACGCTCAACCTCTCAGACCCTCTGTTTCCTCATCTGGACTGGAAGCCCGGCGATGCTGTCCTCCCCAGACTACCCTTAGTGCTCCTCACAGTGCCCAGCTCAGGAAAAGCATTTGATTAAATGGCAGGTATTATTGGTTCTAAAAGGAACCCTGGTGGCACAGTGATGAAAGAGGTTGGCTGCAAAACGAGAGGTCAGTGGTTCGAACCCAGCCGCTTCACAGGGTAAGATGTGGCAGTCTGCTTCTGTAAGGATTTACAGCCTTGGAAACCCTCTGGTGCATTCTACTCTGTCCCTACAGGGTGGTTATGAGTCGGAATCAATTTGATGGCAGTGGAGGGGGGGTGGATTATCAGTTTAAGGAGCTCTGGTGTCATAAACAAGGTGCTCTAGTGGCACAGTGGGTAAGGCATTTGGCTGCTAACCAGAATGCCAGCGGTTCAAACCCACCAGCTGCTCCACGGGAAGAAGATAGGGCAATCTACTTCTGTAAAGATTTACAGCCTTGAAAACCCTACGGAGTTGCTATGAGTTGGAACTGACTCCATGGCAGTGAGTTTGGGTTTTTTTTGACTTGGTGTCACAAATGGGGAAGCACTTGGCTGCTGAAGGGTTGGCAGTTTGAACCCACCCTGCAGCTCCACCGAAAAAAGACCCAGCTGCTTCTATAAAGATTACAGCCGAGAAAACCCTATGAGGCAGTTCTACTCTGTCACATGGGGTCATGACAAGTTGGAATTGACTCGACAGTACCTAACAACCACATTAGTTGAGTCTTATTTTAGAGATGAGGCCCCAGAGGATAAGAGAATCACCTAAGGACACCCAAGAGATCAAAGGCAGATGCAGGATTAGAACTCATTTCTCCTGTCCAAAGGTCTCCCCCAGCTGCCTTGAATCCTTACATGCACTGGTTTTAGGCCCTCTAGGGGATCTACGGGAGCTCTGGTGGCGAAGTGCCTAAGGCATTTGACTGCTAACGAGAAGGCTGGCAGTTCAAACTCACCAGCCACTCCTCAGAAGGAAGGCTAAGCAATCTACTTCCATAGAGATATTGCCTCGGAAACCCAAGGAGTGGTCGTTGTGAGCAGGAACCAACTTGACAGTGAAGAGTTTGGTTTGGGGGATCTAGAGGAAATCAGAGCAGGCTGTAACAACAGCCTGAGGCTCCTCACCTGGGCCCATTTCCACAGAGTAGAAGCTCTACAACAAGGACCAGACCTCACGGGTTTCCCTGTGCTCCCAGGCAGGGCTTGTGTGAGCAGTGACTGCAGGCAGGTTTGGTCAGGCCAGTGTTCAGGGGTGGGGGTAGGGGCTCTGGAGCAAACACAGGAACCCAAAGAATCCGGGGCGGGGGACAAGTGTAGGAGAGGCAGGAGAAGAGATGAAGAAGAGGATCATGTCACAGAATGAATGTCAGATGCAGGATTAGCCCATGAGCAACAGAATGACACAGAGCTGTGCTATGTAAAAACCACTCTGGGCAATGTGAGCAGGACACAGTAGGGGTGGGGAGGAAGGAGACTAGGACACAGATGCAAGCATGTATTGGAACTGGGGACAGCAGAGCACAGTCAGACACAATCCCTGCCTTAGCTGAGCACTGAAAAACAGGGCTTCCAACACATTCATTCTCGTGCGACCCCCTGCTGAGAATTGGCATTTCCACCCCAAAGACTGAACCAGAACCTACAGTTCAACAAAATCCCCAGGGGATTCTTATCAATCCCCACCTGACTCTTTTTTTTTTTTTTTTGCTAATTACCATTTTTAAAAGCATTTGATTGTACTTTAGGTGAAAGTTTGCATAGCAAAGTAATTTTCAAACCAGTCATTCATATGCAAGTTGTTCCCTGACATTAATTGCATCCCACAATGTGCCACCACTCTCCCCATTTCCACTCACGTGGCTTCTGTCCC